AAGAGCTAGCATTGCTCACAGTGTAGCTATTGCTGTAATCAATACTATATTCGCTTGCTGTCATGAAGTCTCATAGGTGCTTCACCGGCATGCTCCATATTCCAGGGACCCTCCCCATGCAAATCAGCCAAGTAGGTTGCTGGTGCCAAAGATGTGTTACTGTTCAGGCTTGGTATTGCTGGGACCACCAAGACCAAACTGGGAGTACTCTGGAGCCACCAGGCCTATATCCAGAGGTGCTGTGGAGGCAGACAGTATGACAGTCCTCCCAGTCTCCAGGACGCAAGGAAGGTGCTTGACCATCTGAACTGTCTCTCTGTCCCCAAATGTTGTACTCAAGTTTTTAACAGACGAGTAAGAAACAAATTCCCAGGAAACTTCTGCATGATTTTACCTGACTTATTTTCTTGTCGTGAATTACAAGTCTTGCATGAAAGTTGTATAGCTTCTTTCTAAGAATAAAAAGTGTTTCTGAAATTTAAGGGAAAAAAATCTATCTCAATAAGTATTTTTATAGGCCGGAGAAATAGCTCAGAGGTTAAGGCACATGCCCTGCATGTGGTTGGCCCCGATCTCTCCCTGGCACCACCTGGTCCCCCAAGCGTCACCAGGTACAGCCTGGGAAGCCTGTGGGCACCATCAAGTAGCCCGTAGAGACCAAGATGCATAGTGCCCTCAGACCCTTGCACTGAGAGCAGACCCAGCTAGACTGGAATTGGAATAAATCCTGAGCCCCACTTAGGATACACACCTCTGCCCAACATCCTCCTCCTCCCCGCCCTCCCCCCCCAAAAAAAACCACTTGTGCTTACCAAATACGTATTTGGAACACAGAATCATTTGTTTTACTGTCAGTATATATTATTATTGTCAGGAAATATTGTTATTATTATTTTATTTAGTCATTTGCCTTGCACGTAGTTGACCCAGGTTCGATTTCCAGCATCCCATATGGTCCCCTGAGCACCGCCAGGAGTAATTCCTGAGTGCACTACCAGATGGAAACCCTGTGCGTCGCCAGGTATAACGCAAAAAGCAAAAAAAAAAAAAAAATCTTAAATCTTAAAAAAATTTAGTCATTGTGAGGCGACTGGAGTGATAGCACAGTGGGTAGGGCGTTTGTCTTGCACGCGGCCAACCCAGGTTCAATTCTCAGCATCCCATATGGTACCCCCAGCACTGCCAGGAGTAATTCCTGAGTGCAGAGTCAGGAGTAACCCCTGTGCATCACCGGAGGTGACCCAAAAAGCACAGCGACAGCACAGCGGGTAGGGTGTTTGCCTTGCATGGGGCTGACCTGGGTTTGATTCCTCTGTCCCTCTTGGAGAGCCCGGCAAGCTTCCGAAAGTACTCCGCCCACATGGCAGAGCCTAGTGAGATCCCCGTGGCATATTCGATAAGCCAAAAGCAGTAACAACAAGTATCACAATATTGGTGCCCGCTTGAGCAAATTGATGAACGTGAGGACAGTGCTAGAGTGCTACAGTCACTGTGAAATTACAAAGTTATTATTCATGATTGATTAGAATCGGGTATACAATGTTTCAACACCAATCCCTTCACCAGTGTCCACTTTCCTCCACCAACGCTCTCCCCGGCATTTGCCTTGCACCCACCAGTCTGCCTCAAAGAGAGCAGCTTTTTTTTTTTTTAAGTTGTTTTTCGCACTGTGGTTTACTGTCCTTTTGCGGACAGGGTTTCATGAACAACACATTACCACCTTTCAGCACCACCTCCTTCAGTTGAACACTTCTCTCCACTGCAGCTGTTGTCTGCTCCCTGACCCATCCTCCAGGAAACATTACTTTAGAAGAAGCTGGTGTATCTCTTCACTATGCCTTTACCCACTAAATGAAGAGAAGTGCAGGTATCTTATGCCTTTCTATATTTTACATCAACTCTTAAAGGAAATTAAATAAAATCAAAGAACAAATAGGGATGATAAACAGGGACACACTGTCCTCCTGTTGTTCATCGATTTGCTCGAGTGGGTCCAGTAACGTCTCCATTTTGAGACTTGTTGTTACTGTGTTTGGAATATTGAATACATCACGGGTATCTTGCCAGGCTTTGCCATGCGGGTGAGATACTCTTGGTAGCTTGCCGAGCTCTCCGAGAGGGGCGGAGGAATCGAACCCGGCTCGGCTGGGCAGGCTGCAAGCAAGGTAAACGCCCAACCGCTGTGCTACTCTTTGAACCATCTTCCTGGCCCATAGGCCTCAATTTTTGTCTGGAAAGTGTAGTCACAGAGTTTAACTTTTAATGAAAATAGAGACTTTTCCAAATCCAGCGTACAGAACTGAGTCCGCTAAGTGGGTGAATGGCGGTACAAGAACAGTGGTGGAGGGATATTCACAAATAGGGACACACTCATTTTATTTTTTTCTCCCACAGTTCTATTTAAGATAAGGATCATTTTACTTCCCTATCTGAAAGGCTGAAAATGTGAGTTACCAGAAAGTACTCTGTATACTACTGCCTGACCACTCAGGGCTGTCAATCACTTAGTTGTCTTTTGCTTCCAGTGATTACCACCAAGATTCAATCTCGTAATGGCTCCCAGCATGTTAAAATTACAGGCATAACAATTTTCAGTCCTTCTAAGACTTGTTGCTCTGTGTAAACGTGACTCCTGAAACTGACATCACCGTATTTATTTTTCTTTAAATCACATTGCTTCCTGCTATTTTTACTGACATTTCCTATTGCCTGTCTTTCTGGAAATAAATGAAACATCTGGCTTTGTGTCCCTTTTCTGGCTTTCTATTATCTCTGCATTTCCAGTCGAGTCTTTCTGAAAATACAACGGACATAGATTTGGTGATGGTCAACAGACTAAAATAATGGTATTTCAATTCTAACTTGTTTGGAACATCCCAGCCCACAAAAGGGTTGTAAGTATACTATGCAAAAATACTAATGGAACATGCTCCAAAATAAGTATCTCTTATCTTATCATTTGAAGGGGTAAAAAGAGGGAAAATTTATCCTGAGACTGTGTAAAAAAAATATACCTCATGAAGACAAGATATAGCACAATACCAATTCTCCCTTATTATCCCTCTTTCATTAACTTAGCTGTTCGAATAAGACTATATATTACATACTACGCTACAACAGGTTCATATTGAGAACAATACTTTGGGATAAAGTTTGATGTCTTATTGAAATGACAATAATCAAAAAAGTATCACAAAGCTAGTCTTTCTTTTCAGTACATAAAATTATTTTTGGTTTTTGGTTTTAGGGGGCCACACCTGCCCAGGGGTTACTCTTGGCTTTGCACTCAGGAATCATTCCTGGCATTCTTCAGGGGACCATATGGGAAACCGGGGAACAAACCCAGGTGGGCCGCGTCCAAAGAAAGCACCCTATCCACTGTAATATTGCTCTGGCCCCAGTGTATAATTTTTTTTAATGCCTGGAGACTTAAAAAGCTCAAGAGAATTGAACAAATGCCACTCAATACAGCAGTGTTTTCCAAGTTCTTATATATCTGGTAAGTCTATAAACCAATAACTGCTAATGAATTTTTTAAAAATAAGTTTAACATTACACTACTATTAATATTAGAGCACAGATGAAAATAAGGTGGCAGCATAAGTACTCATTTGTTTTATAAATACATGAAAGACAATCATATAAAATGCCTTCCTTACTTTTTTTTTTAAACATTCTGGTTATAGGCCAAAGAGATAGTTCAATGGACTGAGTTTTGCATACAGGAGGTCCAGGTTTGATACCTGATCCTGAGTGGTTTCCTACTTGGGGTATGGCCCCTGAGCACTGCTTGGTGAGGCCCACACCCTCTCCCCACTGCCATATTTCTAGTTATATTTAAAAGTATTTTTGAGTAATTTCTCAAACTAAACTTAGTAACACTTCATTTATACTCTACTTCAGAAAAAGTATTCCACAGAGGTGAACTTTCCAAATAAAAGTTTATCCGTTTCAATGCCCAAACTCATTTTACTTAAAGCCATTTTGAATAGAAATGCTCTTAATTACGTCCCATACCTCCCTACCAATTTAGGTAATACACAGTCTATGGAATCTAATTTAAGCACTTGTTAATGACTATTACAGAGAATATGTATTAGAATACTGTGGTGTCTTTAAGACAGCAATGTCCTCAAGAGCACTGACAAATGTAAAGCAATTTGCTTCTATTCTAAAGGACTCCACAAAGACAAGTTCTTAGATCTGTTCTTATTAAAAACCCTCATCCATCACTCCACCCAGGGTATACTTCTGCCATCTTGCAAATCACTGTTTCCATATCAGATAACAGCACGGTCAATAATTTATCAAGAGCAAGAACAAAGAGATTGGGATGAGTCTCCATTTTAAAAACCCAAGCACAAAAATTTATAAGTCTATAACTGTACCTCATGGTGTTTCACTAATAACAAAAAAAAAGGGTTTTGAGAGCACTGGTCCAGAGTGTGATTTAAAGTTTAGCCACTCAAAGGACAGTTCCAATTATATCTTATTCTTGATTACAAGAGACGGTTATGTTTTCTGGGGGAAATGACTAACAAATGATTGCTCTTCTGCAAGAATCTTTATTGGTATCTTCTTGACTAATATGAGTATCATGTTTTAAGTATTACAATAAAGAAACAAAACCTAGGAGCCAGGTGGTAGTACAGAAGTGAGAGCAAATATCTGGCATGCCTCAAGTTAGATTCCCAGCCACTACATGTTCCCCTGAGCACCACAGGGTCCAAGCAGCCCCGAGGCCCCTGAGCACTGCCGTGTGTGACCCAGGACGTACCATCAATCCAGGTATCCTCAGAACCATGGGACCCAAGTAGCACCACATCCTCGGTCCCTGTCAATCCACCAGCGCAGATGGCAAAGACTCACTGGTGAGACTCTCACACCTTCTGAGCCCACCTGTGAGTAACAACCCACCCACCCCCACCCCTACTCCCACCCCCCTTCCACACATACACCTCCTATGGAAAAGAGACAAAATCCATAAGATAGTCTCTTACCTGAAGCACGCCGTGTGAATCTGTTTATTACTGGAGCTAAAAGGTAAAAAAGAGAAAAAATATGATTAGATAAAATTCTAATTCATACAAAACCCTGAAAAGGACCCAAATAGTTAAATGAGCCCACAATGAATTAAAAAACGTGGTAAGCAACTCCCCACAACACACGCACAAATACATGATAATTAAGTGTTTGAATTTACAAGCTTTCTTACTGCAAGTGAACATCAATAATATTCCACCAATTAAATTAGCACCACCCCTCATCCCCCAAATGAAAAACACATCAGGACCAGAAAGATGATACAGTGGGGAAGGCCTTGCATGCAGCCAACCAAATTCAATCCCTGGCACTGCATATGGTCCCTGAACACAGAGCCAGGAGTAAACCCTGACCACCACTGTGTATGGCCCCAAGCCCCTTCCCCACACAAAAGGGCCTGGTCTCCTCAGCACCACCGGGCATAGCTAGCACTGGAGAGCCCCAAGCACTGCTATAGTGGACTCAGTACCCCAGCACAGCTAGAGCAGTATCACTAGGCCAGCCTGGTTGAAGTATGACCAGGGACAGCATCCGGTACCCCTGTGTATCTCTGGTTTCTCTGAGTATTTCTTCAGAGGTGCCCCTCAAAAGAAATTGCTATACACTGCTGAAACCACTTAATTGGGATCATGTAAATCAATGTATCATTACATTTGATACTGGGGAAACAATTCAGCAATGATATGAAGTATACCTTGAAAGGTTTATGTCCTATAGTGAATTTTTTGGGGGTCTCACTTGGCGATGCTCAGGGGTTACTCCTGGCTTTGCACTCAGGAATTACTCCTGGCACTGCTTGGGGACCATATGGGATGCTGGGAATCGAACCAGGTTGGCCACGTGCAAGGCAAATGCCCTACCCTCTGTGCTATCACTCCAGCCCCTTTAGTGAGTAATACTAATTTGAGAACCTTATCTCAAAGAACTACTATTTGAGATGGAAGGTGGGGAGGGGAGAAGTGTTTGTTCCTATCTCTTCAGCAACACTGTCTTATACAAGGGGGCGGGGGAAAGGAAATACAACTAAAACTTCTCATGTGTATGGAAATCATTATGAAGTGAAGAGATTAGTTTTTGATCTCTTCAGATTTAATAGTTAGGGTTTCGACAATATTTTTGAGCAAACTGCTCAGTCTCTTGATAGAAAGCTGCCAGGGTTTGAGAGTGCATCCCTCAGCTGACAAGCAGTCTACCAGCCCAGTCCCCAACTCAACAGCCTTGTTTATTCCTCTTGGTTTGGCATATACCTCTTGTTGAAGGGAGTCAAGGCTTACTCCTGCTCTGGACTCCTGAGTGACTGCTGGGGGTGTGCGGGGGATCAAGCAGTGCAAGGATCCAACAGGGTCAGCTGCATGCAAAGCAAGCACCTGAATCCCCGGTACTGTCTCTCTAGTAAAAACAAAGTTCTTTCATTTGTTCATTTTTTGGGGGGGTTGGGGGCCACACCTGGAAATGCTCAGGTGCTCCAAAAACCATATGGGATGCCAGGGATCAAACCAGAGTTGGCCATGAGCGAGACAAGTGCCAACAAGTATACCTGCTATACTATTTCTTTGTTCCCAAACAGAGATTTTTCAAAAACATTATTTTCTGAGAAGAGCAAGTACATTTGTGGTTCATATTATATATAGAAAGGACATCATGATCTCCACAGTATAGCTTAGGGGCAGAATGTCCTTGGTCTACTATGACACTTTTTAGTACTTTAATACTTTTAACACAGCATAATTATAATCATATAATTATATGATGCTGTAAATTCATCACTTATGAAATAGGTCAGGTAAGGAAGGCATACAATTTTTATCAGCAGCATAATTATACTGCATGAAAAATATGTACACTTTAGAATAAGGACTACAATGAAACTATCAGATGCTTTACATTAATCCTTGCAACTGTATTATTAAATATTGGCTTGGTCACACTGCTAATGAGGACATCATACATTTTAATAATAAGTGCATTATTTCTGAGAAAGTCTCAGAAATATTAATTTGCTTTTGGCCACACAACCATTCTGTAGCAAGTCTATGAGCATCTAGCACCAAAAAGCTACCTTGTATGCAGCAAAAAGAAAAACACTAGTTCCTGAAAACTCACACAACAATGGAGTCGGCCATATTAATTTACTATTACAATTTTTGATGTAACTTAAAAACACCAAATTTCACAAAAGTATAGTTTACAGCAAAGTTATATTTTCCAAACTGAGATAAATTTCTATTATTCATATATCAAAATAATTTAGTCATATGTATGCATGGTTAAAATCACTCATGGGTTAAACTGTATGTTATGTATATTTTACCACATAGAAGAAAAACGTCAGTCTTCTTAAACACTGAAACACATCATAACTCCATCAAGAAACTTAAACAAGGCAAAGTTCCAACAAGTTCTTAGGATAGTAAAAGGAGACAGAGCAAGAAACCTCCAGGAATGCAGAACAGATAGTGGGCTGATGAAAGCAGAAGTGAAGGCCAAACACTAAGCCTTGGAGCAAAAACAGAGCAGACCTTCTCTTCTGCCCCTGCTAACGTCTCCAGATGAAATCACACACAGGGAGTTTTCGGTCAGAAAGTTGGCAAGTCTCTTCTCCTGTAGTTGTTTAGGTTTCTGAGTCTTTTTCAAGTGTGTAAGGAAGATTTTCAAGGGAAGAGGCACCACCATGGAGAAGATGTATTCTAGATTCTCAGGGTCATTTTTTTTCTAACTATCTCGGCAGTTCAGTGGGCACCCTTGGGGCTGACAGGCAATGTACAAGGCAGTCCTATACAACAGGACGCTGTTCTACAGCCCACCACTTTGGTCCTACACTACTTCCCAGGACCCCCTTGGGTATTCACAAGGGCCAAAAAAAAAAAAATTAAGCCAAGTTAAGCCTAGAGCCTGCTTTATCTCTAAGTATCAACAGTAAATGTGGTTTGAATATAAATCAAATTTACCCTAATGCATCCATTACACAACGGAATTTAGTGCATTCCTTTTGTATTTTGCTTTATTTGGAATTTACTGATATTTATCATTTTTTTTAAAATGGGGTTACTGCTGCAATACCACTTGAAGATTTCTAGTTGCCTGCACAACACCCTTGTTCAGACCCCGTCTGCAGCCGTCATGTTTCTGGTGAGTCTAACTATACTGTTGGGAGAGTCTAACTCTACTATCTTCTTGTGGACTTAACAAAGGAAACCCATGCGAACTGTCTGCACTGTACCACTGTCCTCCCGTTGTTCATCGATTTGCTCAAGCGGGCACCAGTAACATCTCACAACAAATTGTGAGACTTGTTGTTACTGTTTTAGGCATATTGAATACATCACGGGTAGCTTGCCAGGTTCTGCCGTACGGGCGAGATACTCTTGGTAGCTTGCCAGGCTCTCCGAATGGGGCAGAGGAATCGAACTCGGGTCGGCCATGTTGGCCGCATGCAAGGCAAACGCCCTACCTGCTGTGCTATCACTCCGGCCCACCCATGTGAAAACGTATTTTCTTTACAACAAATTATTTGCCTTGGATCTCTCAAAGCACACTATATTTTGCTAGAATTTAGATCAGGTTTTAAATTGTGGTAGAAAAAATTTAAAAGAGGGGAGGGAGAGAGAGAGAGAGAGAGAGAGAGAGAGAGAGAGAGAGGAGAGAGAGAGAGAATTGCCTGCCATAGAAGCAGGCAGGGGTGGGAGGTGGGGAAGAGAGGGAACCTGAGGACATTGGTATTGGTGCTGGGATATGTACACTGGTGGAGGGATGGGTGTTGGAATACTGCATGACTGAAATCCAATCATGAACGGCTTTGTAATGCTCTAAAAAATAATAATTTTTTTAAAAAAGAAATTGTGGTAGATAAGCTATATCACTATGGGTTTCCATCTGCTGTAGTAAATGAGGGTATAGGCAGAGAGAGGATATAGATATTCCAGGGAAAAGTCAAGGTCTATATTGGGTAGTTTTGACAATCACCAAAAATCTGATCTCTCATAGCCATACCCTTTCATACTTATTTGCAAAGCTGAAACACATATATTTTCTGGACAAACCTTTTCTTTGGAGAGGGGTGGGGAAGTGGGTGGGCGGGGGGCGGTCTCCAAATGATGATCAGGAGGCGCAGGGGACCCTACCAACAACTCTTGGCAGGATCTGTCATATGTAAGGAATGCATCTTATCCTGCATTATCTCTCTGGCCCAGTCACAGATTTTTGACCGGTCAACCATAACTTTCACCACTCTCCACATTTTCCCATCTTGCTATCAAAATGAAGAAGGTCAAGCCTCAGGGTGAGAGCGGAGCTGGTGATATAAAGACATGCGTGTTTGGGCGGGTATCCCTGGCATTCCTCTCTCAGGAACAGGGAAGAGGGCCAGGAGGGTGGTAGCTTGATCACTGCTGCAAAGGGTTTGTGTCCCATGGCTGGCCCATGGTTCTCCCTATAACCCCAGTTGAATCTGTAACTCTGACTTACATCACTAACAGAAATTATGAAACATAAGGTCTGTCCTTCTGATATCGAATGACTGCACTTTTTTGGTGTATATATATATATATTCACACATACATATATACACACATATATACACATATATACACATATACACATATATACACATATACATATATACACATATATACATGTATACATATTGCATATATACACATATATACACGTATATACACATATACACATATATACACAATATACATATATACAGATATATACACATATACATATATACACATATATGCATGTATACATATTGCATATATACACATATATACACGTATATACACATATACACATATATACACATATATACACATATATACATACATATATACACACATACATATATATACACACACACACACATATACACACACACACACACTAGAAGAATAATATCCATGGCCAGGGTAAACAGGAGTTAGGAGGACTGGTCAATGGTTGGATATATCCACAAGTGTGTGGGGGGCTGAGGGTAGGTAAGATAGAG